TTTCTCACCCTTTTATTACCCTGCCAGTCTCCCTTCAATGAAGACAGAGCAGCCTTGACCATCACGTGTTTTTGTTTCTTTCTTTCTTTCTTTTTTTTTTTTACAGTTGCTCTCTATCATTGCATCAGTGCCAATATCTCATTTACAAATAGTAATAGAAAATGTATGTCAATATGTTTACCTACATTTAATCTGCAGAAGACCGTGAGGTAGGTTATGGTGCAGGCAGCAGCCAGTATGCGCAGAAGCCACAGAGGTGGAAAGGCAGAAGTGGAAGAATGACCTGCCCCACTCCACAGGCCTTTCAGGATGAGGAGGTCTCCAAGAAAGCCGTCTGCTTATAGCTTTCCCTCTTTCTACCCCAGGCATGGACCCTGAAAAACTAGAGCGGATCCAGCTGCCAGTGCCCAGTGTAGCCGAGAAGACCACCTACAACCACCTCCTGGCCGAAAGACTCATCCGGATCATGAACAACGCCGCCCAGCCAGGTGCCCGCCACGTGTCGTTTGTTCACAGGGGCCTGGAGTCACGCATCATGAGCCCTGCGTTCTGGCCCTGGCCCTGCCGAGAACCCAGGCGGATCTCTACCCCTCGACCCCCGAGTCCTGGCCACCAGTCCCCTCCCTGCTGCAGCTGAGTCTCTTCCTCTCTCCACCCTTCTACCCGTAGTCATGTCTCAGCCCCCTTCTCTGGGTGCCCAGGCCATGTTGTGAGAATGAGCTAGGCTGAGAGTCTGAGCTATGGGCGTGGAGGGCTCCAGCACTTGGCTCAGGCGGTGATACAAGATGCGCCCAGAGTCTGCGTGGCCCCTCCCAGCTCTGAGCTTTGCCCGGCACCAGTCTGCTGCCGGGGAAGGTGAGAAGCAGCAGGCAGAGTGACCCACACAGCGTTTCCAAACTGGGAGATGACCTGCCCTCTCCCGGACATGTGACAATGTCTGAGAAGTTTTAGTCATTACAGCTGAGGGAGGGGATGCTCCTGGCATCTCATGGGTAAAGGCCAAGACGCGGCTAAACATCCCACAGTGCATAGGACCCCCACATGCTCCCTTAGCACAGAGTTATCTGGCCCAAAAGATCAACAGCGCTGTTTTAGTCAGGTTTTGTGTCACGAACAGAAAAGTCTGAGGCTGGGTGATTTATAAAGAAAATAGGGATTTATTTGCAAAACTCACAATTCTGGGAGCTGGGAAGTCCAGGTGTGGTGGAGAGGGACAGAGGATGGCAGGCGTGTGTGGAGAGAACAGGCAGCTCACTCTCCTACAGCGACCAGCGGTCAGAGGGCTGACCTTTTCTCACGAGATCTAAAGCTCCTTGGGTCTGCGAGACATTGACCTCTTCACGAGAGTGCTGCCTCCGTGATGCAGTCACCACTGCCCACCAGGTCTCACCGCCTCCCAGCATCGAATACCAGAGCCTGAAACTCTGGGGGCCTCCCCGTAATTCGAACCATAACAAGTGCCTAGACCTGAGAACCCCTGCTTGCAAGGCGAGTTCTCCACTGAGGCAAGGAGAGAGGCCAGCAGGGTGAGAGAGGGCACCATGAAGGCCTGCCTGAGGTGCAGCCTGGGTGGGGAGAGAGTGCCGCCAAGCTGCACCATAGGGCGTTCAGCGGGGTGGGCCAGGTCAGGAGCCAGGCAGGGGCACACCTAGAATGCCATGCCTGGCTCACAGTACAAGAGCAGAGCAAGTGATATTGGTCAGAATGGGGTTGCAGTTGACAGAAACGCAGACTGGCTTAAACAGCACAAGCAGAAGCAAGCCAACAGAAATTGTATTGGCTTATAAAGTCTGCTGGGGTCTACCTTCAGGCACAGCTGGATCAGAGGGCTCATACCATGTTTTCAAGACTCTCTGTCTTTGGACTCGGCCACCTGCTGGGCTGGCAAGATAACTGCCAACAGCCCCGACCGTCCCTTTCTCTGCCGAGGTGCTGGGCTCGCTCTGTGGGAGACTTGGTTTTAGGCAGCCTAGTTGGACAGGAAAGCTCGAAGCTCTGTTTGCAAATTACTTTACATCGATGGAAAATGCTGGAAAGGGTAGGATAGTGGCTGAGGGATCATGATGCTTGTGCCACTCAAGGGCCCAATGTTGCTCCTGTCTGCGCTGCAGCCCTGCACAGAGAGCTTCTAAGTTTATTATTGTATTCCTTTAATGAGAGAGAAAAAGAGAGCTTAGGTAGTCTTGATAGGATCTTGTCATACAACAGTTCTTCCACCAGCCTCCAGCCAACCAGGGTCAGGGGCACATACAGGATCCAGACCTGGGCCTCCCACACGGCTCCAGCGTCATGCAGTGGTGTCTTATTGTCTGGGTCACTGGCTGGGCCACGGAAGGAGTCTCTTATCCACCAGTTTCCACAGATTGTGGATCCGAGCCTTACTACTCTGACTGGCTTCCCTTGCTGTCCCCTACCCGGTCACTGTGACCAGGAGAGTAGAGCACCCTCCCAGCCTGGATGATGTGCCCACTCCTAGAGGGGGTGGGGGGCCAGCTCCACCCAAACACATGACCCAGAGGGGGCTGTGGTTCTCCAAAGGAGAGTGGGTGTGCTCATCCCTGAAAAAGGTAGAGAGGATGCTAGACAAGCAGAACAGCCACAGCGGGCCCTTCTAGGCCTCTGGTAATACTCAGCTCCCCCTTTTTCCCATCTCCCCTCCTCCCGATAAAGGGACTTCAGAGAGATATTCTGTATAGGCAGTTTTGATGGGAATGTTGAATCGTGACTGATTGGGAAGGAAGCTGGCAGGTGGGGTCCCTCTTGTCTTCCCTGGGGGTTGGGGGCCTCAAGCCGTTGGTCTCTCTGCTGACCTGTTAATCACAAAATAAATTAGTCAAGAGCCTCGTATCGACTGGGGGTGCCCTGCCCTGGCCGTGCGAGGCTGACCCGTGTACTCTGCAGATGGGAAGATCCGCTTGGCAACCCTGGAGCTGAGCTGCCTACTCCTGAAGCAGCAAGTCCTGCCCAGCTCCGGCTGCATCATAAAGGATGTGCACCTGGCCTGCCTTGAGGTAAGTCGGAGGAGGTTGGAGGTCAGAGGTTGGAGGGAGGCCGCTGGCATCGAGATTGGAGCCCCTGGTCCATGGTGTCCACAGCACTAGCTAGGAGAAGCTGGACTGAGCTTCTAAAACCACATTATCTACAAGGACAAACACACACATGTATTTATAATTTTAATGTTAAAATACATACTCATTAAGCTTTCAATGGCTTTTATTTCTTCCTCTCCATATTCCAAGTTTATTTTAGAAAATTTAGAAAGTACAGAGGTAAAAAATTAACACCTATAGTTGACAGTTTGGTGTGTGTCTACACACACACTCACAAATGAATGTTTTGTTTTATAAGAATGGAGTCATGGCTGGTTGTGGTGGCACATGCATGTAATCCCAACTACTTTGAATACTAAGGCAGGAGGATTATAAGTTTGAGGCCAGCTTGGGCAACATAGCAAGACCTTGTCTCAGAGGCTGACCCGTGTACTCTGCAGATGGGAAGATCCGCTTGGCAACCCTGGAGCTGAGCTGCCTACTCCTGAAGCAGCAAGTCCTGCCCAGCTCCGGCTGCATCATAAAGGATGTGCACCTGGCCTGCCTTGAGGTAAGTCGGAGGAGGTTGGAGGTCAGAGGTTGGAGGGAGGCCGCTGGCATCGAGATTGGAGCCCCTGGTCCATGGTGTCCACAGCACTAGCTAGGAGAAGCTGGACTGAGCTTCTAAAACCACATTATCTACAAGGACAAACACACACATGTATTTATAATTTTAATGTTAAAATACATACTCATTAAGCTTTCAATGGCTTTTATTTCTTCCTCTCCATATTCCAAGTTTATTTTAGAAAATTTAGAAAGTACAGAGGTAAAAAATTAACACCTATAGTTGACAGTTTGGTGTGTGTCTACACACACACTCACAAATGAATGTTTTGTTTTATAAGAATGGAGTCATGGCTGGTTGTGGTGGCACATGCATGTAATCCCAACTACTTTGAATACTAAGGCAGGAGGATTATAAGTTTGAGGCCAGCTTGGGCAACATAGCAAGACCTTGTCTCAAAAAAAAAAAAGGGAAAGAAAAGAAAAATGGAATCATAATCGCCATATTTTATAACCCATTTTCTCCCACTTAACTGTATATTAACAACTTTCCATGTCATTCCATGGAATTGCCTGCCCTTTCCTCATTTTCATTTGAGCTTTCTCCCTCCCTCCCTCTCTCATTAAGAACCGTTTTCTATATTAAGGATATTAGTCCAGCGTCTGTTTCATGCACACTCAGATTTTAGAATTTGTAAGTTACCCAACCCTCATCTCTGTAGATCTGCCTTCTTCATACCTTCCTTCTCTTCTAACAGGGCGCAAGAGAAGAGAGCGTTCACCTCGTGCGGCACTTCTATAAGGTAATTGGCAGAGCACACGTAGACAGCAGCCCTGGTTGGCCTGTAGAAACAGGGTTATGGAGTCTAGTCCTGAACATGCAGAGGCTATGTGTCTTTAGCTGCTTTTTGAATACCTGTAACTTATTGAGTAAAAGTGCTCGATTTCATAATCTCCAGAGCAGCAGTGGGTCTGAACCTTTCTGTCCAGGTCCTCTTATCAGTAGGAGTTTTGAGGACTTGCCCCTGCTATATTACAGTTTATTTATCAATTATACGTGAATTTGTTTATGGTGAATTTGTACGTAAATTATGGAGTCCGTATACACATGACTAAATTGTATATGCTGAACTTCTTTCATGGGTTACATGCACTTACACATGTAAGAGATCTTCAAAAAGTTCACGGGAAACATGTAACATGAAAAAACTATGCATGATGGGAACCAGCAGTTAGCGTGATGGCTATGTCGCTGGACTCCCATGTAGTCGACCGTGGTTCGCGTCCCGGACCCGGTGGCTTAAAACTCACGCCAGGCACGTGTACGTGCGTGCCCAAGATCCCGAGAGGAGAATGGAGGAGAAGGAATTGCGGCGTGACCACCTCCTCTGGGGGTGATTTCTCGCTTTCTGTCTCTCTGTCTCTCTCTGTCTGTCTGGCGAGCGCATGCGCCCTATAGCAAAAAAATCTCTCAAAAAAAAAAAAAAAACTATGCATATGATTTTTTTGTGAAAAAATAAACTCATACTTTCTAATTTTATGTTTCCAGAAAATTTTAAAAGTCTCCATGTATAAAATGACTTGTGAATTACCTATGATTTTATGGGTTCTATGCATATGTATTCCTTACATACATATGTGCTAAGAGACCTCATATAGGCTTCTAAACTTCTATTATTGAGCTTAGTGAGGTTCTGTAAAGTACCACCAATGAATTTCAGTATCTGAAAAATGTGTAGAGATTTTCCTTCAGGTTCTAGTAAAGTGTTAAAATCCCCAGTTGTGATGGTTTGGGTTAGCTCCTAAGATATTTGATTAGTCCACTTCGGCTGCTATAACAAAATACCATAGAGTGGTGGCCAGTAAATGATAAGATTTTTATTATTTTTATTTTTGAGAGGTTTTCGCTATAGGGCGTGTGCACTCGCCAGACAGAGAGAGGCAGGAAAGAAAGTGAGAAATCCCCCCCCAGGGGGGATGGCCACGCCGCAATCCCTTCTCCTCCATTCTCCTCTTGGGATCGTGGGCACACACGCACATGCGCCCGGCGTGAGTTTTAAGCCACCGGGTCTGGGACGTGAACTGCGGTCGACTACATGGGAGTCCAGCGACATAGCCATTATGCTGACTGCTGGTCCCATGATAAAATTATTTCTCACAGTCCTGGAGGCTGGAACTCCCAAGAGTGAAGCAGATTGGTATCTACCACTGTCCCCCTGCAGGCACTGTTTGTATTCACAAGGACTCCATGCTCCTGATCTAAATGTCACCCAAAGGCTCCACCTCCTAATATCATCACCTTGGGGTTAGAATAAACGTATGACTTGGGGGAACACATGCCGACCCTACCAGCATGATGTATCCTCAAGCAAGGTTCATCACTTACCCGCCATAGTGGATTAATTCATGTGTCAAGTAGTCCTAGCAGTTCTAGAATGTTCTGGCCTCCGTTTCTGACCCTCCAGATTAGTAAGTGTTGGTTTCCCCTCCTGAGGTGTCATGGCTGTTGAAGACCCCTGAGCAGAGGAGTGGGGAAGATGTCAGTGCAGCCGGTTTCTGGTTCACCTGTGTTTTCACGATTTGTACTCTCTCTCTCTCTCTACTACTCTTTCTCCGAAGGTTTTTTTGTCGTTTTAATTTCTTCTATGAGCGAGAGAAAGGGGGGGCCTGCTGCTGCGGTCCATCCCTATCCTCAGCGAGCCCTGGATGATGTGTTTGTGTGTGCCTGGGATACTCAGGAAGGTCTCTGGACATGAAGCCAGAACCTTCCCACATGGGTCAGTCTTGCAGAGCATCAGATTTTACCCCTGCTCCACCATCTGGTCCCCCTTTGCAGGAATCTCTTTAAGCCACTATCCATCTTGTCAGTGCTGTTGGATGAAACGAGGTCATATCATCTGGAAATCCACCTTCCCAGGCTCAGCAGCAGATGTGCCCAGACAGGGTGGCACTGTGGCCCACACACTGGGAAGGCAGTCCCAGTTTCCCCTTAGACTGTCCCAGACCACACTTGGCCTCTCTGTGAGGATACACCCCTGTACCAAGCTCAGTGAAAAGCAGAAACCTCACAGTTGCATTAGTCATCTTTTAATCTCTTTCCACTGTAACTGCCCTAGCTTATTCCCTCTAGAAAGCATTTGGACTGCAAAAACAGAAAGACATATAGGCACGCCTTTCCCAGAGGGTTATTCTTCTCAGTAATAGAAAGAGAACTAGCTGCATTTGACTTTTAGCAAACCCTGTAATGTCTACGCCCTAAGTATATAATGTCTGAGAGACTTTTGGCTATTTGGGGGAGGGTGTCATTTCTGCTGGTGGTGATTACACTATGCAAGTTGATCTATAGTTCTGACAACTGAAAAAATAAAGATCTAGTCCGCTTTGCATCCCAACTATGTCATGGGTGAGGGAAGCGTCATTTCAGACTTATGAGAGAGGGACCACCAGATGGCGAAATGGTTACGTCATTGGACTACCATGTAGTTGACTGTGGTTCAACCCCTAGACCTGGCAGGTTGAAGCTTACACTGGGAGCATGTGTGTGTGTGCCCAGAATCCCGAGAGGAGAATAGAGGAGAAGAGATTGTAGTGTGACCATACCCGTGGGGGGTGATTTCTTGCATTCTGTTTTTCTGTCTCTGTCTCCCTAGTGAGCACACACGCCCCATAGCAAAAATATCTCCAAAAACCCCCCAAAAAACTTGTGAGAAAGATAGGAGCGTTCCAGCACTTGTTGTCCGGGAGAGATGGCGGCAGGGAGCGCTGACACTCCCCCAGGCCTGGCGGAATGGCAGGCGCTGCGCCCCTGCAGTTATCTCCTTTTCCCTCAGGGTGACCCAGAGAGACCCGGCTGTCATTCCATTCTCCTAGCAAAGCAGAGGCTCCGAGAGGTAAAGCTGGTATCTGACCCCTGGTCTCTGTCTCGAAGCGAAGTTCTCGCCCACCGCTCTGTTCTGAAGGGGACCTCCTGGGCTGTCCTGGCCCTGCAGAACGCCCAAACCGGGTAGTGCCGTGGAAAACAAGAACAAGCCATAAAGCTCATGTTACACACGTTTACGACGGTCTTCCTCTCAGAGGCCTGGGGCCTTGTCGTGTTTGCATGGCACCGTAGACAGCATTTCCCCGTTTCTCCAGCCCTTCTCGACAAGTAGATGGTGTTAAATATTCAAAATACTTTTTCTACATCTTAATTATGTATGTTATCTGTGTTGTGTTATTTTTAAATTAGCTGCTTTAACAGAAGAACTCTATTTCTGTATGCTTCAAAAAAGGAGAATAATGTTGAGTGGTGCAACGTGATACCTGGGATTTCGCTTGAGCGTGTGTGTTCGCCTTCACGTGTGCATTTTACTTCCTGGTGATTTACGAGAACTCACTAATGAGAAACAGATGGCCCCAAAAGCCACGAGCTGGAGTTTATAATACTTTGTTGTTTATGGAAAAAATATGAATAATCTCTTCCCTCCCTTCCGTTTTTTTTTAGGGAGAGGAAATTTTTTTGGACATGTTTGAAGACGAGTACAGGAGCATGACCGTAAGTGAGGGGCCGGAACACACCTGCCTCGCATCTGCCTGTACCTGTTAGACCGGGGGCTCCCCGTGACTCGAGGCTTTCAGACCAAATGGCAAAGTTTGGGAGGGAAGTAAATCTAAAACCTGCCTGTCGACCCCATACCTGCTAAAATTTCAGGTTAGAGTCACTCCCCCTGACATCGGGCCATGTCAGTAAGTTAGGTCAGAAAGATTCCCTTGGATACGAATAGTATTTGGGGGAGGGGGCCTTCTTTATATTGAGAACTTACTCCGTGCCAATGATGTAAAGCACATTGTATGTATTAAGTCTCTTAATCTTCACATCAGCCATTGACAATAGCTACTGTCATTGTCCCCTTTTGCTGAAGAGGAAGCTGAGTCAGAGAGATTGAGTGATGTTTCCAAATTTGCCCAGTCAGCGAGCAGCAGAGCCAGGCTTACAGAGCGGAGCAGTCCCCCTCCCAGCCCCCTCCTCATCCTCAGATGGCACTGCCTTCCCATGGCAGAACTCCGGCAGGCAGCTCTTCCCCAAGCCCTCAGTACCAGCACAGAGGCCTTCCTGTCTCCCCATGGCGTGGCATGTGGAACGGTTCTGAAGGGAACAGCGCTCTGTGCTGCTGTCTGTCTGCAACCCTGTACCTTCGCCGCCATAGGCACTCAGTCCTGGACCACGAACAGTCCTCGTGGGCAGGAGCACCAAAGCACGAAGTGATCTGGGAAGTTCCTAATAACTAGGAAGTATCAAAGAGGAAGCGCAGGCAGTGTGCACTCAGTGGCTCCTGGCTTCCTGGTATTGGACAGCTGGGGCTTCACCACGTCCTCGGTCACTGCATTGTGGGGTCTCTGGGAAGTCTTTGTAAGGGAAAAGTATCAGTTGGCATAATTCTCCTCAAGGAATGACCCAGCAGTGTCCAGTACCTGGCCTCCTTGTAGGGGATACCTGGGCTGCCCATGCCTGCTCTGTTTCCTTGTTGATGGTCACAGCTCCCTGCCACTCCTCCAGAAGAGTGGTTCAGTCTTAGGGTTGGAGTTATGGTTAGGGTTTTAAAAATGTGTAAAAATACAAAAAAAAAAAAAAATACAAAGAGG